GGCTGCTTTTGCAATCACAAGCCCAGGACACAGCCCAAGGTGCCCCTGCCCAAGGTCCCCCTTGCCCCCATCCCATGTTGGGCACCAGAGCATCCCATGCCGGGGCAGGGAGGGGATGGATGACCAGGGATTGTGTTGTCTCCTGTCTTTCTGGGCTGACTTGAAGATATTTTGGGACCTAAATGTCTTGGTTCTGCCCTGCCCACACACCTACCCCAAGATCCTCCCGGCCTCCTTGGACTGGTAGATGTCACATGTGTGCAGGGGACCCGTGTGCCCGGCTGCTGCACAGAGCGCCTGGTGGAACTGGAACTGGATCACGAAGCTGACAAAGTACCTGGTGGGGATGGAGAGAGGTGAGGACATGGGAATGGACCCTACTAGTGGCTGTGCAAGGGAGGATGTGGTCCCCCTCATCCCCTGGTTGCACCCTCCCATCCTGGAGGAACATCACTGGCTTTGCAGCTCCAACTGCATCAACTCAGTCCAATCTGCTGATGCCATTTCTCCTTTAACAAGTGTTTTATGGCTGCCTGGGTGGATGAGCCTGTCCTTCTCAGGTAGAGAGAAGTTTCCCCAAATCTAGCCTTCTCCTCTGGAGCTCTGTAAGGGCTCTTGGAGCTTGCCAGCACCCTCAGCATGGTACCACCAAGAATCCCAGCAGTCATGAAAAAAAATGTCATTACTGGCATTTGAACTGGAGATCCTGCTTCTGTGTCCAAGTGGTGTCCCTCCTGCCCCAGCCCTGCTTACTCACCTGATGTAGGGCACGTTGGCTGGGATGTGAAACTTTGCCCCAGGGTCAAAATCATCTTCAGACCTTGGCACCGGCGGGCACAAGCCCTGGTACTTCATCCTGGGCCAGAGAGGGAGAGTTAGCCCAGTATGGGGAGGAGAAGGTGGGGTAAGATGGGCGAGGACACATGTGGGGTGTGAGGAGAGGGTGAGGGGTTATGTATCCCATTGTGTCCCATTGCAGCCAACTGACCACAGGGAGAAACACCCAGTGGGATGATGGTCAAGGCCCTTGCACCAAAGAGAAATATGAATTCAAGTTCACCTGAGATTCCACCACTGCTGGTTGTACTCATCCTCCTTGATCCGTCCATCAAACACCTTCCACCGCCACTGGTCCATGAGGTATCCGAAGGGCAAGAAGGCGATTTTGTCCAGGGCGATGCTCATCAGGTAGTTGATGTCACTTTCTGTCCGGGGTGTGAAGGTGTGAGTGAGGCAGTACGGTACCCATCCCTCCACCCTGTATGGGCCATTCTACCCAACAGCAGGTTGTCCCCAGCAGGTCCTGCCCCTTTCATACATGCAAAGCCACCGTGCGTGTCCCTGACCCCTTCCACCTGCCCAGCCCATCCTGACCCTCTGCATTTCCAGTTGTCCCCAGCAATTCCCCCATCTTTGCTTTGTGGTGTTCCCCTGCCAGCTCACCATTGTTGTCTGTGACTTGGTCCAGCAGCTTGATGCTATGTAGGTGTTTGGGGGTAGAGACAGACAAGGCCATGACATCCCCGACTGCCTCATGGAAGCCAGGATTGGCCCCATCGCGGAATGAGATGGGCTGGTTCATGTACTGCAGGAAGTACTGGACATGGCCCATCTCATGGTGCACTGTGATTAGGTCGTCCATGTTCACCACGGTGCACTGCTTGATCCTGGACCAGGACATGTGGGATGTGGGGAGAAAGGAGGGTAATGATGGGGTGAAATCTCCAGGAGGTATTTTCACCTTTTGTCTCCTTTTCCATGTGCTCCCACCCCCATCTAATGCCAGGCTGGGCTGGTCCTATTCCATTGGGTTGGTCTCTCCCTCTCCCTCTTCTCCTGCATCTCCTGCTGCACCTGCCTGTTCCCTGTCCTTGTTCATTGGCTTTTCTGTTCTCCACAGCAGGGCAGGGAAGGCATTGATTGCCCTTCATCCACTGCAGGGGCTCCTGCCAGCAATGCCACATCTTGGGTACCAGTGGCAATGCCAGAGTAAGGCTGCCACAGCCATAGGATAACAACCACTGTGGTGGCATCAGGCCATGTGCCCTAATTCTACCACAACACTGCTATCTGCCCCAGCACCACATCAGCTGAGGCCACCACTTGCTCCCCACAGGCACCTGAAGTCCTTGCGGTTGTAGAAGTCCCAGGCTGAGGCATGACACACAACCTCCCGCCCATCTGCTGGCTTCTCAATCATGGACTTGTCCCAGAACTCTTGTGGCATGGGGATGAGACCCAGAGAGGTAAAGAAACGGTCTGACTCTTCAAACATCTTCTTGGGTGTCCAGCCCTGGGGAGAAAGCAGACAGAGGACCCAGTGAGGGACAGTGGGGGATGCTAGGGGTGCCAGGGGCTGGGAAGGGTGGGAGGCCAGGGACAGCCTTGTTCCCCTGGGCAGGGGAGGTCTTTTAGAGGCAGCTGGAGCTGGATCCAGCCCTTGGCATATCCAGGTGGGGAGAGAATACGGATGAACCATGGAGGTTTTTGGCAGCACCAGTGAGTTTGGCAACATGGGTGATGCCAATGGCCAAAGGGTGCTGGGTCCCAAGGGACTTCCCCCGAGCAGCCTGGAAAAGCACTGACCTGTTGTTTCATGGCTGGGGTGGCATCCACCTTGGTGGCATCTGGGAAGGGTATCACCAGGTCGAAAATGTTGGACCATGACTGGGCCCACATGTTGCCTGGGAAGCACAGGAGGACAATGCGTGGCAGGAAGGAGACAAGGAGAGAAGAGCAAAGGCAACCATTTACTCCTGGCTCTGGCATGGAGTGGGTCCTCCTGCCTGGTCTCTGCCCTGCCTGCACAAGGGTGATGCAAGCAGGAGCCCGTCCATGCAGGAGAAGTCAAGTCATGCTTAGTGGGTTGACCTCCCCTGGGGCAGACTGGCTTCTGCAGACCCACCTCATGGGGCCTTGGCCCTTTGGCCAGAGCTGAACAGACACCAGCCCCAACTCTTGGCATGACTTGGAGCAAACTATGCCTGGTGGGAGATAGTTCTGCTTGAGGGTCCAGCAAAGCTCTTACCTAGCAGGTGAGCAGGGATGGGACCCTTCAGGTTTATGTAGTCTGCACCGTACTTCTTGTATAGGGCTCGGCGTACATAGGCGTGCAGATTGAGGTACAGGGGCTGCAGCTGCAGGTACAACCTCTCCAGATCTTTCTCAAAGGTGGGTGTCTCATACAGGGATCTCCAGAAGGCCCCATTGTCCGTGTAGCCTGTGGTAGAGAAAGAGTAGAAGCTGTTAGACACTGTCCTTCTCAGGCAAAGAATCTGTCTTGCTGGTCAGACACCCTCCATATCTATGAGACAGTGGATCTCATGGGAGTTGGTGGGACCTCCACATCCTCAAGATTTTGTCCCTGAGTTGGACAATCAGCCCAATCCTCTGCTTCCAGGATGCTAAGACCCACCTCTGCAGACCATGGTTGGTCTCTAAGGAAGTGGGACACTGACCATTGAGCATGGCTGCCTTGTTGCTCAGTTCCACGTATCGCTTGTAGTTGTTTTTGATCTTCTTCCCAGAAGCATCCCGCCAGCCCTTCCAGGCAAAAAGGAGTTCATCATAGTCCCGTGAGGTGGCCATGATGTCCGTGAGGTCTGAAGAGAGATCAATGAAGCCAAAGTGATGCTGTTGGATGGGCTGGACTGTTCTAGACCCAACATGTTGCTCAGGGGCCATCACAGAGAAGGTGGGAAGGCCCCTTCATGACCTTTCTTCATGTCCCTATTAAAAATCCCTCCTTTCTGGGCTTGTTGCAGATGACTCGGTGGACACTCTGCCAGATCTTACCAGGATCCAGGGGGTGACAGGTTTTGTTCTCTCTGCAGACCTTGGCTACGCTGTACGTGGTCTCCATATCTGAGAGGAGGGTGTTGTACTGCAAAGAAAATCAGATCATGTGAGCTGGTTATCCTGGCTTCTGCTCTTGGACAATATCGCAGCCCATTGAGGTGTCCTCAAGTGTTTTACTCTGATCCCTTCCAAGGCCAAGTGTGACCCCAAAAGGAGGCAAAGTGGAGTCAATAGAGGAGGGATTAGGACCAGCCAGCAATGTGCCATTGCCACCCAAACAGCCAGGCTCCACTGCAGCCTGCGATAGGCAACCTTTGGGTGGGAAATCCTGGAGACAAGGATCATGGCTTTGTGTAGGAGATAGCAAACTATCACCTTGTTCAACAGGTGGCTGCCCAATGGCATTTCCTAAAAGCTGGGAGAAGCCTGTGTCCACACAGGGTAGGGGGAAGGAACATCCTGTCCTGCTCTGTCCCCTTGCAGCTCACCTCCTTCAGCTCATTCTCAGGCAGGGCCGCCCTCTCAATGACACTCAGCTTCTTGAGGATGCGTGTGACACTTTGGTCCTGGAAGTCGGAGGTGTCGAACTGCCTGGCCTTCATGCCATACTCAAGGGTGTGCTTGGACATGGCCAAGTTCTTCTCCAGCTGCATGGGCAGAAGGGGACAGAAGAGGAGTTACATCAAGGAGATCCCTGAGACACAGGCCATCACTAGAAACACCACCTGGCATGACGATAACCTCCCCATGACCAGCCTTGTGGGTACCTTGTGGCATGACGAGGGTTTTAATGGAAAAGGCACCTCCTGGGTAAGAACATGACCACTTGGCTAGGGGCAGAGGCTGCCCTGGTTTTCAGAGCTCATCTGAAACATTCCTTGGGTGCCAGCTACCTGCCTTGGCTGTTGTCTCTCCCTGCACAGCCCCAAGGTCATTCCCATACCATGATCTCCTTGTTGTGGTCAGTGATGTTGGTGTTGTAGGTCCAGGATGCCTCAGTGTAGGCGTTCCACACTGCCTCTCCTGTGCTGTTGTACTCGGACAAGAGCTCTTTAGCTTGTTCTTCATCAGCTATTTTGTCTAGAGGAGAAGATAAATGACAGAAGAGGAGTAAGGAGAGTCCTTCTCTCTGCAAGAGCACCACGCCATGGAGAAGCCATGGTTGAGTTTATCCCAGAACTGCAGGTCCGTTGAAGGATGTCACAACTTGGGAGCAGATTGAACCAAGAAATGGTGGTAGAAGTGTCCTGCTGGAGTTGTTCCTCTGGACAGGGCATGGGATAACAGAACATGCTGCGTGCTATAGACCCTCCCACTTGGACAGAAAGGATGCAGCTGAAAACAGATGACCTGCCACACCATGACCAATGGCAGCTGCAGGGCCACAGCTTCAGACCATGGTACATCAAGAGGTTGGCTAATGGCACCTGCTTCCTGGGAAACAACATCCTGTGGGACTCCATGTGGAGATGGTTCTTTTTTCTGGCATGGAGACCTCCCCCACCCATAACAGAGACCTCCCTCAGCACTGTCCTGCCTGGAGGTTAGTGATGTCCCTTGGGAGACCTCTTCCTTCTCCTCCCCAGAGCCAGGATGGAGCTGCAGCCTTACCAATGCCTTCAGGGTAGCCTTCAGGGATAGGGGGACGCCAGTCAAACTCAGGCCAGCCCAGCACCTCATTGGTCTTGTTGTTCTGCTCCTGAAGCCACTTGGTGACAGGGCTGAAGTACTCCAGGAGGGCCCCAGCATCCATCTTATCTGTGCCAGTGAGGTTGAAAAGTATTTCCTGCCACGACTTGGAAGACCCAGCTTTCAACGCTTCCCTGCAGAGAAGCAGGACAGCAAGAGCCAACATGAGGTCAAGGAATGGATGGGAGAAAAGTGATGATGGTATCTCAGCATTGCAAGGGTTCAAGATGCTATTCCTTAGTGGAGTATGGATCTGGGAACTGCCTCTGAAGCCCCCATCTGCCCTACTTATGGTAACGAGGACACCCCATCACATATTCATGCATTTGATAACACACAGGGAGTCAATAGGATCCAAATGTGCTTTGGTGACCTCTTATCTGGGTTGGAGCTCATGACAAGGAAAATAGCAGTGCTCTGGTGAGGACCACTCACCCCACCCCAGTGCTTCCATGTATTTCCATCCATCCATTCATCCATCTGCAAAGCTATTTCTCCACAGCCACTTTTCCTTCCTTACTTCCTTCCTTTCTTCTTTCCTTCCTTTGCACACCATCAGCTTCCACGCACACATTTGACTGTGGTGATTGTCCTGACCCTCCTCAGCCCCCACCTGAGTTTAGCTCCAGCTTCTTTGGACATGTAGATGTCACAGGTGTGCAGGGGACCATTGTGGTTGGCCGCCTGGCACAGCGCCTTGTGAAACTGGAACTGGAGGATGAAGCTCACAAAGTACCTGCCAAGGAAGCCCATGAAGGTCAGCGCTGGGGATGAAGGGAAGCAGACAAGTCCTAGGGTGTGCAGGAAGGCACCCAACCATGTCAGCTCCCCACCATTTGTGGTCCCAAGCGTTGGGTAGTCTCTGCATCTTGACCAAGAGCAACGTATCCCAGTTGTTACCCACAGAGGTGAGTCCCCCCTCCTCCTGCTCCCCCAACCTCTGTCCCCTCACCAGGACCCCAGCACCTCCTCTACCTGATGTAAGGGGTGTTCCCAGGGATGTGGTACTTTGCTCCAGGGTCAAAGTTGCTTTCATTCCTCGAAACTGGCGCACAGATACCCTGGTATTTGGTTCTGCAGACAAGAGAGAAGAGCATGAGCTGGCAAGAGGGACCCAGTTGAACCAAGACAGGGAATGGGAAGGGAAGGCTTAGGAAATCTACAAAATTAGAGTGTGCTTCCATGTATTTCCA